ATTTTTTTTAAAACAAAAAAATTTTAATGGAAGGCTGAAAGGCCACCAAGGTTGGTTATTGCATTGATTGATGATTCTCAAAATAAATTGCCAAAATAGCAGTCTCAAGCATTTTTAACCAAATTTTTCCTCAATAAACTATTTGATAGTTTTAAATTAACATTAACTTTTCATATTTGCTCTAATTTAATTGGTTATTTCACTTAAAAATAAATATAAAAATGTATTTCTTAAGGATGTTTTTTTAAAAAACACATTAATTATACCTTTAAATGCTTAAAATGTCTTAAATTTTTCAGTGTCCTACTTCTCAAAAAATGTTTGACATTTTTTAGGTTAGTGAAATCAATAGATTTTGGAGTAGCATAAAGGGTAATTTTGTCACAATATAATGAGCTAAAGTTGAACCTTCATAATAAGAAATATTCATGTTTAATGCCTAATAGTGTTTTGAATATAGCTATTTTTAATAGAAGGACATAAGTGAACAATCATTTAAAAATCATAGATAAGGTTGCCAAATATGATAGAATTGGATAGTATGAGATTTAACAAACACTATCAATTTTCATTACTACTTGGCAACATCGTTTGTTTCAAATGTTTTTTCTTGGTTTCAATTATGATTATGTTAAAAAAGAATATTATAAATCATTAGGAATATAAATTAAAACTAATAAAGAATTAGGATGTGTTTGAAATTCAGTTGAGTATAATTAATTATGATAAAATTAATTAATATAATTAATTTTGAAATTATGAGGTATATAATTAATTTATAAAATTGATTTGTAAGATTGATTTTAATTAGAATTGAAAAGTAAAATTAAAAAGCAAAATTAAAAATTAAGTAAAATCATGTTTTGTAAAAATATATTTAAACATTTTTGTTATATGTTAAAATCAATTACGAATTTAAAGTCATGTTTTTCAAAAAATATCCAAACACACATTATAGATGCCAAATCAATTATGAATCCAAACATCTCTATTATATGTTAAAATTAATTGTGAATCTAAATAGAGGTACTTGAATATTTAAAATAAAAATATGCTTTTGGGTTGAAAATTAATTATGATATGTATGATAGGTGTTTAGATATTTTCAGAAAAATATGATTTTAGATATATAATTGATTTTAACATGTAATGAGGGTATTTAGATAGAGTTCCACAAAACTATGGTTTTAACTTCTAAAATTGATTAAAGAGATTTTCCAAATAGGCATTCAAGCTTAATATGTGTTTAAATTTTAGTTGGGTATAATTAATTATGAAAAAATTATTTAATATTATTAATTTTTAATATAATTGATTATGTTATAAGATATGGCTATGTTTGGATTTTAGTTAAGTATCATTGATTATGAAAAATTAATTAACATGATTGATTTTAAATATAATTAATTATTTTATGAGGTATATAATTAATTTATAAAATTAATTAATAAAATTAATTTTAGTAAAAATTGAAAGCAAACAAAATCATGATTTTGTGAAAGTATATCCAAACATTCTTGTTACTCGTTAAAATTAATTATAATTCTAAAATCCTGTTTGTCAAAAAAATATTTAAACACTCATTGTACATGCCAAAATCAATTATAACACAAAACTATGATTCTCTTAAAAATATCCAAACACCCTCATATATGCCAAAATCAATATCAATTCAAAACCATGGTTATTTCATAAACTATTATTACCTACTTTTCAATTCATATTTTGAATTATGCTTTTTTATAAATTTATCCAAAAATCATATAAATTATTTTACATATCATATTTTTGGATTTCTAATTAATTTTGACATATTTCCTCTGTTAAAAATCGTAAGACATTTTTAACTAAATTTTTTCCTAATAAAGTAGTTATTTATATTTAAACTAACCATATCTTTTTATATTTATCCCTATTTAATAAGGTATTTTACTTTAAAATAAATATAAAGTGATTTATTAATATAGGCACTTAAAAAAAAGCAATGATTACTCATTGAAAGGATAAAAATGCTTTATATTTTTAAATATTCAACCTCTCAAAAAATATCTTACATTTTTAAATAGAGAAAGTATATAGATGTGTTTGAATATTTTAAAGAAAAACATGGTTTTAGGTTAAAAATTAATTTTTGCATGTATAATGGGTGTTTAGATTTTTTTTAAAAAATATGATTTTAGATATATAATTGATTTTAACATGTAATAAAAGTGTTTGGATATATTTTCACAAATTTATAATTTTGACCTCTAAAATTGATTAAAAATGTTACCCAAACAGGCACATATAATTGACTTATAAAATTAATTTTAATCATGATTGAAAAGCAAAATTGAAAAGCAAAATTAAAAATTAAATAAAATTATGATTTTGTGAAAATATGTTCAAACATCCCTGTTAAATATTAAAATTAATTATGAATTTAAAACTATATTTTTCAAAAAATATCTAAACACTCATTATATTTGTCAAAATTAATTATGAATTCAAAACTATAATTTTTTTAAAAATATTCAAACACCTCACAGATGCCAAAATAAAGTATTAACTTAAAATCACAGTTATTTCATAAGTTATTATTGCCTGTTTTTTAATTCATATTTTTAATTTTATTTTAAAAAAATTTATTTAAAAATTATATAAGCTATCTTAAAATTATATTTTTAGTTCATAATTAATTTTGACATATATAAGGATGTTTGTATATTTGTAAAAAAACTACGAGAATTCATAATTAATTTTACCATGTATAATAGATTATTTGAATATTTAAAAAACATAATTTTATATTTATAATTAATTATAACATGTAACAAGAGTATTAGAACATATTTTTACAAAACTATAATTTTGACCTTTGGAATTGATTATTTATGAAATCCAAACAGGCACTTAATTCGATTGGATTTGAATTCAAATTAATTACTACTTGGCGGTCAAATGTGGATTCCAAGTAGTCAAAATTTTAAGGGGACACAAATCAACGTTTCACTTCCCCTGATTATTGCTCATCCGAGGAAGCAAACACAATAACATTCCTCTCTGTCCCATGCCTCCATTTTATAGGAGCCTCCTTGTGGCGGCTTCCGTCTCATCTCTTCTTTACTATACTTGTAATCTAATTGTTTAATCATTACGGTTTTTCTGATCACACGATTTATGCTTATTATATATATTAATATCGATTATTAATATTAATTATGGTTTTTGTATTTATTTCAACATCCCGGGTTGCAACTATCAACAGGAATTTCTTTATTTACATAATATTAAGTTAAAAAATAATTTTAAAATCTAAATAATATTTAAAAAATTCGAAATCCAAGAAAGTTTTTAACAGAATAATATAATTAATTTCTCACTGGAGATATATTAAGAAAAAAATTTCTATAAAAATAATTAATATTAATAAAATATTTTAAAATTTAAAAAATATACTTTTATATATTGGTTGATATTTAGGTAAGATTAGATTGATCAGGCTACTGATTAACATGAACACCCTATTTTTTTGTACTATTAAAACCACTAAATTAACATCAATTAATAATCACTAGTTCATTGCCAATTTAAGTTAGACTAAACTAACATCTACATTTCAGATTTTATGAATTTAGATTTGAATTTATTCTAAAAAGGATAACTATACACACACACACAGTCGTTGGTAAAAAAAAAAAAAAAGATACACACACACAGTCGCACACATATCATATTCATATTTGATTATTAGTTAAAGTGTATATTTAATTCTCTAATTTAATATAAGATTTATATTGATTCCTTAATTTTATTATAAAATAATTTTTTAGTCCTTTAACTGTAATATTATTAGTTTCATTAACAACAAAATCTTTATGCTAAACTTTTAAATATTAATAAAATATTTTTAAATTAAGGAATTAGATTGAAACCTCATGTAAAATTAAAGGACTTGATGTACACTTTAACCTTGATCTTTTTATCAAAATTTTTCAGCGTGCACGCTGAAATTCTACAAAGTTTATCGATTTATTGCTAAAAAGATGGTTATTTAAGAATAAGTGGAAACATCTAATACTAGTAGTGCCTGATCAGCAATATTAGGCAGGGTTAAAATGTTAAATGCATTATCTAAAATTTAAATTTTAGGTTTAAAATGTGAATACGTGAATGCAAATTTCATGTATCTCTCCTCTATATACGATGTACACTCAAGTATATTAGATACCTTGTGGGTGTATCTAATCACTATAACCCGGTCAAAAATAATTTAAAAAAATAAAAAGACATTATTCTGGAAGAAGGAGAAACTTCATTTGAATTCCTCTTGGCTTGAATCTCGTTCAACAATATTGAATATATTAATAAATAATAGCTAGTATATTTTTACTCTTTTTTTTTTGGTTGGCCAAATATATTTTTACTTCTTATCACAAAATAATAAAATACTTCCTCCATCTCAAGATGATATTACGTATATTAATAAAACATAATAATAATATTTTATAAATTTATTTTTCAAAACAAAATTATAAATTTTTAAAAATGTCCCTGTCTTTAATAATTATAATATAATATTATTTTAATTTTTTCTTTACTTAAAGGATAACATTAAAAATTAATAAAAAAGTTTTAAAAAAATTATCTTATATTTTGAAATAATAAAATTTTTTAAAAATTATTTTGAGACGAAAATAGCACTCTATGTTACGCGTATTCAACACGCCCTCGGTCTCTACCCATTATTATTTATTATTATTGTATTGTTATTATTAATTTAAACAAACGCGAAACACTCATCTTGACCGTCGACTATGGAGTCTTCGTCGAGGTAACCCCTAGCTTGATGACGTGTCAATATCGGACGGCTTCTTCACGAAATCCAGGTAAAATAGTGTTTTTAATTTTCCTCCTATTGGTTGTTGGCCGCAACGATAAAAATAACCAATAAATATAAAAGATTTCCTCGGTTACAACCTCCACGTCCTTAATATAATCACCCACGATCTTTTCTCATATAAATAGTACCGATTCTTGCCTTCGGCCTTCGCAATTGCGCTCGCAACCAAAGCAGTTACATTCAACACAACAGGAAAAAGATTCAATAGAGCATCAATTTGCGGCGAAGATGAGCTACTACAACCAGCAGCAGCCGCCGGTGGGAGTTCCGCCGCCACAAGGTCCGTCGACTCTGCCTCTCATCCTCTTCAACGATTTTGGTTTAGATTTGTGGTTTTTTTATTTGCATGTCGGTGTGGCTTGCTGGATCTGATATGTTTTGAGATTAGGGGTTTTCGGATTCGGATCTGCGGATTTTTTGTTTTGATTATGATGTTTGGATGTGTCAACAGGTTACCCCCCCGAGGGATATCCGAAGGACGCTTATCCGCCGCCGGGATATCCACCACAGGGATATCCTCCGCCGGCTTATCCACAGCAAGGATATCCGCCTCCATATGCACCTCAATATCAGCAGCCTCCTCCTCGGCAGCAAAATTCATCCGGACCTGGTTGTTTGGAAGGATGGTAAGCTCTCTCTCTCTGAAATTTGAGTCTCAGGGAGTTAAATCGGGTGTGATCTGGTGGTTGACGGCGAGTTGACTCGTTCGCCGGTAACGGTCACCGTTTGCTATGCGGTGCGGGTCCCTTATCTATTGCTGTGAGTGTGGGACAAGGCACTCATGGTGGATGATGATGCGGATAGGTTTCCAACTAGTAGTTGGCAGGATTAAGCTAGGCACACGGGTTTTCAACTTTTGCGATTTTTCTGGTAGAGGGTGTTTTCGTCATTTCAGTTTGGCTTGTAGATTCTTTTTGTATGCTTAATTAGTTAAAATCATGAAAAAGAAATCAAATTTTTAGGCGGCAGAATCGCAACAATATTCAGATTCAGATCTTTTAGGTGATTTCAATTGGCCAGACGAACAGCTTTTACTTGATTCCAGTTATCGATTTACTTAAATTTCGACACATGTTTAAGTGAATTAGCTTGTTAGATTTAAGAGTCTGCTCCGTGCAATACTTAAAAAAGAACTGGGATGCAGAATATTTTTCCTTTTTTAAATTATCTTGAGATGATAAATATATGGAAGGGAAAAAACTAGCCTTATACACTAAGGTGATTGTTTTCAATTAAATCAGTATCTTTTATATATTATTTATTATATAAAATTTTTTTATTATTAATATTATTAATACGTTAAAGTTCACATGTCTTTTGATTGGACAAAAATATATTAAGTATATAAGATTAAGTATATAAGTCTTGTCCTATATATAATATGGTGTGAAAAAAAATAAGGATGAATTTGCAAATGTTTTGTTCTCATAGGCGGCATTATAAATAGCATGAATTGAGTACCCTAGTTCATATGAATTGCTATGCATTATTTGACATAAATTCGAACGTGCTTAGTATCCATACATTTTCCTATTATTTGAATTGATAGCTTTGTGAAGTTTGTGTGAAATCTGGTTCTGATCTGTGCAAATTTTCAAACTTGCAGTTTGGCTGCTCTTTGCTGCTGCTGCCTTTTGGATGCGTGCTTCTGAGAAGACATTGTTGTGCACAGGATGGATTCAAGGGCGTTTAACTTGGAAAACAGTGAAATATTGTTACTTGTTTTACATTGTCATTTTTGCTTTGCGACTGCTTTATTATTTTAAATAACTCAGAACTATATATAAATATATATTGCTTGCACAATGTCAATGAGTCTATGGTCCCAAGTATATAACTGCTAGTTCCTATGTTCATTCTCCCCCACCTTTTGAGAATCCAAATCTGCTCTCTTTTTGCTTGTTCTCGTTGACTATTTTAGGCTTCCCCCCTTTTGGAAAATACATTGGCCAATATTATGATAACTTTAGTTGAAAAGGATTTTTTTAAACGAAGATAACATTTGAATATACAATCAGAACAATTATAAAACTCAGTATCTCAAGGGGAAAAAGTATTGCTTTGATTTAGGAATTTGTACTCCAAATGAGACTGGCGCGCTAATGTATTGTTTTCTGGGACGGATAATTTCATGTCATTGTGGTCAAAGTTGGAGTTTTTTGGTAAAAGAAAGTTTGGGTGAGTTGACTCAATAGGATACAGACATACTTTTATACTCAGATCTTTTACAGAAATATCTCTAGATTATTTATCAATAAAATCCTTGATCCTGTAATTTTGTGGATTATAGAACAAATCTTTGGTAATTGAACCACTTTTGTTGGTTGGTCAAATTAGGAGTGGCGATTAGTGGGCAGTACAGTGTACATAGTGGCCCAAAAAAGAGATTAGCGGTGGAACCATTACAATGCAATACAAAGCCATCGCTGGCTGCTTGTAAAGAAAGAGGCCCCCCACCATGACACCTAGAAAACAACAAAGCTGGACCACCGTTTCTCACAAGTCACAACGCCAAAGCGGCTCCGAATATCTTCCATGTCTGCATATCTGTTAGTCACAACTTGACATCATGTTCCGTCAAAAACAAAACAAAACAAAAAACTTGACATTATGTTTTCATGTACCTATATGAGATGAATTTCCACCTTTTTTTTCACGCCATGGATGGATGCGCCAAACCCAACTTCTTAAATATTAAAAATCTGTTTTTAAGTTTACCTGTCTCTTAACTATTGTCAATTTTCTTCCTTCATGGTGACGAGTCCAGGTTGATTATAATACTGGGAAAATCACTCTTAGATCCCGTGCAAATAATTTAAATATAAAAAGTTTCATGAAATAACAAAATTATTGCAAAGTTCCGTATCCTTTAAAAGTTTTTAATTTATTATTTTGATGTTGTCAATTATGGTCAGATAATTGTTAGTTGAGTTGTTCAATTCATATTTAAGTAGTAATAATTAACAACAATTTTAATAAATAGTAAGATTTTAGAATAATTTTGTAATTTTACGAGACTTATTTACACCTAGATTACTTCTATGGAACATTAGAGTGATTTTCCTATAATATTTGGTTTTTAAATTTGAATTATCCACATTTACTTGGTAGCCGAGAAAAGGAAGCCAGCTCATGAAGATGGAATTCCATTTCCTTGTATTCCTCAGGAAGAAAGAGCACAGTACGATTTGAAATATTGACTCTCCAACTAAAGGATTGACATCTTAGTGTTTTTTTGATGATTATGTAACAGAATAATTGATAGACAGATGTAAATATATTTTTCTCAGGAATATTCTTAATTCTAAGCATCGTTATAATGCACGCGATGCAATAATCCAAACAGTCGAGTTCCAAGCAACAGAAGATTAGAATTGAATATCTTCATATCAGATTCTCAGCTAAGATAGTTGCAAAGCTTGTCTCTATGGTGAGGTGAAATGTATAAGAAATGTGTATTAGAATGTGTTGGCTAGTAATATTTTAATGAACTAATTTGAGTCACTAGTTCCTAACAATTAAGAAGTCTTGCTTAAATTAAGAGCCGGCTGCCAATAGCTATTCAGGCTAGGTGGTGTTCTTCAGTAGAATGGAATTAATTAATAGAACAGATGGGGCAGTTGATCATCTTCTTCGTCTTATTATTATCTGAATATTTGAATACAATATCTAAACTTTTAAAAGAAACAAATGTTAATGGTCAATTTTCCATTTGGCAATTTATTATCAACAGCTGATTGTTATTCTTTTTACAGCTTAACTCAAGTTTTTACTTGGGGATATTCATGAGACAAGACCGGTAGTCTCGTCCCGTGTCAATAATCTCAATTCAAGTGCTTGAAACACACAATGAGTTTTTTTAACTAGGGCAAAGAAAACTAACTAATCCATCAAATAATTAATCAAGTTTCACTTATTCTCAATGGGCTTTCTACTTTAATGGCCCCATTAAGGTCGGACCTTTTTCATTAAGCCGAACAAATATCTATACCCAAAACTCTCTTTTAACATTGTTGGTTTTTATGGGCAGGTTTAAAAAATTCTTCATTTTAGGATTGAATAATGATACATTGAACAAAAAAAGTTTTGCCCTGCTTAGTACAGTGAAAGAATTTTCAAAGAACCTGGAATTCTCTCTTTTATACGTACATCACCACCAGAATCGGCTGCACCACGTTGAAGAACAAAGGGACAGTGGTGGTGATGGGTCACTGATCATTCTAAAACTCAATGGAGCGTCGTTGCCGCTGTCAATAGGAGCCATCAAGGAAGGAGGTGGGTCATTAGTCTCATTGAGGAAGAGGAGAGAAGGTGAGAGCTTGAAGGGTATTGAGAGAAGTAGGTATGATGGAATCGAGTTCCATGGGAGTCTTGACGGAACCAAGTTCCATCAATTTTGGTGGAAATGAGATCTTTGTAGAGCTGGGTTCCCATGCACCAAACATACAATTTATGAGCTTTCATTTCCACTTCTCTAGCCTCACTTCCAGTGTACCAAATGAGCCATTTGAGTCGTACATAAAGTAAGGTAATTGACATTTAAAATATAAATTTGCACAATTAACTCCCGAGCAAACCAATTAATTTATAAACCAACGAAATACTGCAGGCTTCAAAATGTGCTTAAAGACATGATGAAAATTGAATTAAAAAGAAAAAATAATTAGACAGACCCATATTTAGTAGGAAAATTATGAAATATTATGGAACACAATAACAACGGGCATTTGGTCTAGTGGTATGATTCTCGCTTTGGGTGCGAGAGGTCCCGAGTTCGATTCTCGGAATGCCCCTTTCTAGTATTGTGCGTTTTACTAGCATTTTTCACTCGCAATGAAACCAGACTAAGTACAAGGGAAAAGCCAATACAAAGGAAAACACCTAATAAGATTCACGCGGTTTTAGGTCTGGTAAACAAAGACTGACAGTTGTAACTAATAAAGAATTCACGTGTTGAAATGTGGCAAATGGTCAACTACTTTGAAAGAGCCTTGTCATTTCCTCAAGGTCAATGCCAAAAGCATCAGATCTAGGAATGAAGATTTAGAACTAATAATAAAGTATTGACATGTTGAGATCTGGAAAATGATGAATTACTAGGTTAAGAGCATTGTCACTTCCCTAAGCTGAATACTAAAAAGCATCAGGGCTGCATATCAATGAATGAAGAATCATCCTTGCATTGAACATTGGATAAATAAATCAGAGAGAACAAGATTCAATACCCAGCTTCATTCAGCAGAAAATTTGATAATGAAGAAGCCTTGTGTTTTGACTAAGAAAGTCAACCTGCTGAACTAAAGTAATTCAATTTAGAGCATAGCATCAAATAAACTCTCTTTCCCAGAGAACGTTTTAGCTTCATCAAGTAATTTAGAAATAATTGAAAATTCTTACTCAAGAAGTTTTGGTCAATGGAAGGCATCTAAACAGAATTCCATCGGATCCCATCTCTTGGTCGCATCTCATCTCAAAAACTCAACAGTGTAATTCTGCATTCACAAAATTATTTTTATCTCATTTTATTTTTGAAGATATTGACAAGGGCATTTGGTCTAGTGGTATGATTCTCGCTTCGGGTGCGAGAGGTCCCGAGTTCGATTCTCGGAATGCCCCCATTTATGAAATCCATGTTTCTTTTTCTTTGGCTCCTATTAACAGAGAGCTCACATTCAAGGCACAGAAAATGAAGGGTAATAATGGAGAAGCATGCTTTTTAGCACTGAAAGTCAGAAGCTGCTGAATTAAATTAATTTTATGAACAGAACAGCAAATAAGTATCTCTTCCCCATAATAGTATATGAAGAGTGATAATGGAGCAGCTTGTCTTTTAGTGCAGAAAGTCAGAAGCTGCTGAATTTAAATTGCAGAGCAGCATATAAGTATCTCTTCCCCAGCAAACGTATTAGCTTCAGGAAGGAGTTGTTGTACCTGAGATTATTGGGCGCAATAGAAGAGCAGAAGAATTGCCTACTCAGGTAGGCAGTTTTGCTGAATGCAACGCATCTAAATAAATCCCCATATTTCATGAAAGAATACAGTCAGATTAAAAAGAGAGAGAAAGGGGAATTTTGCACAAGATCTTTAGTAACACATGAAGATATTAAGAAGGGCATTTGGTCTAGTGGTATGATTCTCGCTGTGGGTGCGAGAAGTCCAGAGTTCAATTCTCATAATGCCCCTTTGTAATTTTAAATTTTTTATTTAAATTTGCTGTAGCAAAACCAGAATCTTTACAAGGAAAAGGTCAACACCAGCCTTAATACAAGTCTTAACAGAACAGACAAGTTGCAGCATCAAATCTCTTACTTTATTAAACAAATAACGTATTCACATGCTATAAGATCTGGAAAATGGCTGAGACAAGCTAGCTTGAAAAAGCCTTATCAATTCATTTACCTAAATAAATAAATAAATAAAAAGCATCAGGGGCAGCATCTGAAAACCAATAAGGACTGCAGAATCATCCCCATATAGACATAACTGATTTAAGTATAGCCTTGAAGACAAAAATAATAAGATCTGGATTGTATAATCAGATCCATACTGTCCTTGGCCAAAAAAAAAAAAAAAAAAGATCCACAATGTCCAAAAGACAAGTGCATGCCTTGCACATGTTTAGATATGGACGGAGGATCTGCACTCATGGAAGTTGGATCCTTTGTGCATCTGTATTTTGTCTAAGAAAGTCAGAACTGCCTGAGCTAAGCTAGTTTGAAGTAAGCATCTCAAACATTTTAGCATCAGCAAATAATTAAAGAGACGAACAACTTTAGCCAATGTGAGGCATTAAACAAATTCCCAAGTTTAATGTAACACCGGAAAAACTCTCAAGTCAGTTACAGCTAGGGCATTTGGTGTAGAAAAACTCTTAAGTCAGTTACAGCAAGGGCATTTGGTCTAGAAAACTCTTAAGTCGGTTACAGCAAGGGCATTTGGTCTAGAAAAACTCTTAAGTCGGTTACAGCAAGGGCATTTGGTCTAGTGGTATGATTCTCGCGTAGGGTGTGAGAGGTCCCGAGTCCAATTCGAATGCCCCCTTTCAAGGAATTTTGTTTTCGTTTTTTCTTTTAGTTAATGACTCCATTCAAATGCAGGGTTTGGAAAATGAATACTAAAAGAGAAGCATGTGCTTTCATTAAGAAAGTCAAAATATGCTGATAAACCACTAATCAAAAGCAAACAAATTAGCTTCAGAATGAAGTGGTTTGTTTGTTGCACCAATGAAGCTTGATAACAATTGAAGCATAAAATTGTCCATTCTGGAATGCAGTTCTAGTCAATGTAAGAAACCTAAACGATTCCTAGTTATCATGGAATATGATAAGACCTTTTAGTAATCCTTCAAAATATTGACCAGGGCATTTGGTCTAGTGGTATGATTCTCGCTTTGGGTGCGAGAGGTCTCGAGTTCGATTCTCGGAATGCCCCCTTTTGTAATTCTCAAGTTTTATTTTTAATTGCTTGCAACCAAGCAAGAATGTTTACAATGAAAAGTTAACAACAACCTTAACACAAATATCATAAACAGACAAGTTGCGGTCTCAGATCTCTCCTAATTTATTACAACTGGCCAAGTATTCACATGCTGCAAGATCTTGAAAAACAATGAGTAAGGCTTGCTTGAAACTAGAAAGGACCTTGTCAAATCTTTCAGCTAAATTAAAAAAAGCATCAGGGCAGCATCTACATACCAATACGGATTGCAGAACCATCCCCCTATTGACCTCTGGACAACTAACTAAAAACCTATTGCATACAAATTCCTTAAATATCTCAATGCCACGCCAAAAGATGCATTGGTAGATAAAATATCGCACCATAAATGTTATTGTTTTGTCTAAAAAAGTCACATCCTGTGAAGCCAAATTAGTTTAAACATCTGAACAATCTAGTAGAAAATAGGCAAGCATCACAAACATTTAAGCTCCAGCAGATAATTGAGGAGATAAGCAACTTTAGTCAGTGTGAGGTATCAAAAAAATTCCTAAGTTTCAAGGAATACTAGAGAAACTAAGTCATCCTTGGAGATATGAACAAGGAATTTGGTCTAGTAATAAAAATCTTGTAAACAGACAAGTTACAGTGTCCAATTCTCATTCCTCCTTCATAAAATCAAGCTTTTTATGATTTTACACGCAGGAACTAAATAGTAAAGAGTGATGACAGAGAAGCTTTTCTTTTGGCAAAGGAAGTCAGGCTCAGAACCTCCCGAGATAAATTGGTTTTAAATACAGAGCAGCAAATAAGCATCTCTTTCACAGAAACCAAATAAGCTTCAGGAAGGACTTGTTACACAAAAGACTCATGAGCTCAAGTGAAGAACAAAAAATGCCTTTTCAGGTAAGCAATTATGGTCAACAAAAGGTATTGAGAAAAATCCCCAAGTATGAGGGAAATATGAAGATCTTTTAGTAATTCTTGAAGATATCAACAAGGGCATTTGGTCTAATGGTATGATTCTCGCTTTGGGTGCGAGAGGTCCCGAGTTCGATTCTCGGAATGCCCCACTGGTAATTTTCAATTTTTATTTTTAATCCCCTCGTAGCAAAGGCAGAATCTTTACAAGGCAAAGGTCAACACCAACTTTAGTACAAACTTAACAGACAATTGCAGTGTCAAATCTTACTTTATTACAACTAGTAAAGTATTCACATGCCATAAGATCCAGAAAATGGCAAGACAGGCTAGCTTGAAAGAACCTTATCAGTTCATTTAGCTGAATTAATCAAACATCAGAGGCAGCATCTGTTAACCAATTTGGACTGCAAAATTATCCCCATATTGAGCATTGGAGAAGTGACAAATCTATTAGATATAACTGATTTAAGCATTTCAGTGCCCACCCTTGAAGATTAATATGATAAAATCTGCATTGAATAATCAGATCCAGACTGCCCAGAAGAATTGTGCACACCTTGCACAGCTTTAAATATGGACAGCGGATCAGCACTCATGGAACTTGGATCCTTTGCACATCTTTATTTTGTCTAAGAAACTGAGAGCCTGCTGAGTTAAGTTACAAGAACGTAGCAGCAAATCAGTAGGCGTCTTAAGTATTTTAGCGTCAGCAGATAATTTAAGAGACAAGGAACTTAAGTCAATGTGAGGCAACAAACAAATTCTTTTGTTTCTGTTTAATACAACACTAGAGAAACTGAGTCAGCCTTGGAGATATCAACTAGGGCATCTAGTCCAGTGGTATGATTGTCGCTTAGGGTGTGAGAGGTCCTGAGTTCAATTCTCAGAATGGCCCCTTTCAAGAAATGTGTTTTTGTCTTTTTTTTTTTAAACTTAAATTAATAAAATATTAACAAGCAAAATATGGAAAGAAGAGTAATGGATATGCCTGTTCTTGGTAAGGAACACCTCTTGATGTGAATTGCTTTCCAGAACAGAGCAGCAAATAAATAGGCACCACTTATCCAGAAAATTGTATTAACTTCGGGAAAGAGTCATTACCCAGAGAAGATTGAGGTACAATTGAAGAGGAGCAGAGAAATTGTCCACGCAGGTAATCAGATTAGGTAAATAAAAGGTATCTGATGGATTCCCAAGTTTCATGGGCCAATACAGAAATGCTTCTTGTAATACTTTAAGATATCAACTAGGGCATTTGGTCTACTGGTATGATTCTCCCTTAGGGTCCAAGAGGTTGCAATGCCCCTGTCAAGGAAATCTATGCTTTTTTTTAAAAGACTAAACAAAGAATTCACATGTAGGATTTGGAAAATGAAGAATGATAAAAGAGAAGCACATGTTTTCATTAAGAAAGTCACAATCTGCTAATAAGCCACTCATCCCAAGCAATCAAATTAGCTTTAGGATGGAGTTGTTCCCTTGTTGCACCAATGAAGCTTGGTAACAATTGAAATAAAAATGTACGTTCTGGTATGCAGTTTTAGTCAATGTAGGAAATCTAAAATTATTCCAAGTCACTGAGGAATAATGAGAAGATCTTTTCGTAACATTTCAAAATATCAACTAGGGCAGTCTAGTGGTATGATTCTTGTTTTGGGTGCAAGAGGTGTTGAGTTTGATTCTCGGAATGCCCCTTTTGTGCATTTCAATTTTTATTTATAATCCCTTGTGCCAAAACCAAAATATTTACAAGGAAAAGGTCAGCACCCACCTTGATTGAAATGTTGTCAATAACAACATGAAATCTCTTAATTTATTACAACTATTAAAGTATTCACGCGGTGACAAATTGAGAAAAGGAAGATAGCATTAAAGAGAGAGAGAATCAAAGGCAGCATCTGAATTCCAATGCAGATTGCAGTACCATCACCCTATTGAACTTTGTACAAGTGATAATCAGTTAGATATAACTGACTCAAGTATTTCAGTGCCATGCCTAAAAAGACACCAGAGCATAAGTCTCAGGTAGATATTTCTGTTTTGCCTAACAAAAACAGAACCAGCTGGGATCAATTAGTTGAAAGAATCTAGCAGCAAAGAGGCATCTGTCCCACATAAAACATTCAAGCATCAGCAAATCAGCTTCATAAAGAAACAAGTAAGTACATCTATTCCTTAGAAAACATATTAGCTTTGGGAAGTTGTTGCAATAATGAGATATTCTTGGGCACAATTGAATGGGAAAATTGGCTATCAAGGAAAGCAATTTTAGTCAATGCAATGCATCTTAGCCCATTTCCAAGTTTCTTTGAACAACGCAGAAGAGATTTCAATAATCCTTGTAAATATCAACTAGGGCATTTGGTCTAGTGGTATGATTCTCTGCTTTGGGTGCAAGAGGTCCTGAGTTCGAATCACAGAATGCCCCTTTCATAATTCTCAATTCTTGTTTTAATCACTCACTGCAATGCAAGAATCTTCACAAGGAAAAAGTCAACACCAACCGTAATACAAATCTCATAAATAGATGTCTCAAAGCTTTACAAAGTATTTAATGGGTACCTAAGTAGGATGAGGAACCCTACCTCAAAAGTCAGCTATTGAAATGGGAGAACCAACCCACTTATATACCCCATTGAGCATTCCATACTACTCAATGTGGGACTTGGTATCCCATACTACCAAGTTTCTATCAATTAGCCCCTATGGAAAGCTGACATTCCAACAGTTGCACTCCACAGCACTTACTTGATCTCCTTCCGATCAGAACCCTCTGTAAGTAGCCCTTTTCGGAACTACTAATAATGAGACTCTGATACCAATTGATGGGTACCTAAGTAGGACAGAAATCCTACCCCAAAAGCTAATTGTTGAAGTGAGAGAGCCAACCCACTTATATACCCCATTGAGCATCCCATACTACTCATTGTGAGACTTGGTATTCCATACTACCAAGTCTCTATCAGTATTTGTACAAGTTAGAGGTACGCAACAACTTCTCTACTCATAACAGTGTGATTTGTTCATTCGAGAACTTTGTTTTTTAAGCATTAGAAGGGTACCATTCAATTGGAAATCTTAAACTCTAAGTTTGGACTGATAGCAATCAGCCTCTACCCTTGTTCCAGCTGATTCATACACTTTTTTATTTCTCCTTGTGCTCTCAGTTTAGTGAGCAATCGACTAGTACACTTATTGTAATCAACTGGTCACCTAGAAATTTGGTTTTACAGAAGAGCACAGTTGACTTCTATAAAGACACCATTTAACTATTACCTAGAATTAAATGAGAATCACCTATGGAATGGTAATAGTTGACTCGCATCCCTACAACAGTTGACTTCTACCTATATAATAGTCAATTAAAACCTTAACAGAAACTCGAAAACATTATATACAATAGTTCAATGGCTAATTCTAAAGTAAACCAAGTTGGAATTATTTCTATCGGCTACATCAAGAAATCCATCAAAATGAGCCTTATTTAAGTCTTGGAAGTTTAGAAAAACATTGTCTAAGTGCTCTAAACGTGATTTGCATGCACTTCTCATTTATTGCTCGTCTCTCTATATATCAAGTGCTTCATTTGTATATTTACTGCTTGTGAGAGTTTCTTCTGATCCTCCATCTTCGTGGAATGTTAGGAATTGGAGGATTCCTAGTGAACTTAAAAACTAATCTTCCAAAACATACACAAACCAAACTGTTATTTACTCAAATCCATTACACATATAGCATTAGCAATTTACATACATTATTCTTTTTTAATGAAATTCACATGTAATTTACATGCATTATTAGCAATTTACATACATTATTATGATTATTATATAGTTTAAACAAGGTATAGGTATGAACATCAGCCAAGCCAAACAATGCTCAGTTTAATAAAAGCCCTGTCAAAAAAAATGAAAGAGAATTGCCACACCAATAGCACTTACTTCAGACAATAGATTCATGCTCAGAACTCAAGCCTCAGTTCTTAGATTTTGAATACTTCACGAGCCAATCAACAACTGTGTCAATGTTGGTGGAATTTTTGCAAGAGACCATGAAGCAACAAACTTCTCTGTTGGCAAGAGATTTTAGGCCCCTATACATTTTCAGCAACATTAATATTTTAAAAAAACTACAAAAAGCAGACAAAACTCTTGGGAAAACTATTTTTCCCCAGAATGTAATACAACAGCAATGACAACAAAAACCTCATTCCACTAAGTGAGGTCAGCTACATGGATCGCATGATGCCATTATGCTTTGTCCTAGACCAACTCCACCTAGCACAATTGCATTGTGTGGTCCATGTAGTAGACCACATTTAGTCCGATAAGTCTTTATTTGTTGTTGTTGTATTTATTACTTTCAGAGTGTAATGCACTCCTCAAATGCTTTCCTCAATGTACCAAGAAACTTAAATATAGAGAATATTTTAAGAGCTGAACCTTTAAAGAAGAAATGATTTTTCTCATGATCTCTACTTCGGTGCAATGCAATGATTCAGAGAGCTTTTTGACATGTACTGAACGGTTTGCAATTCATCATAAAATATCTAAACCTGAGAGTACAAGACTTACATTTGTTCGGTCAAATCTTGCTGAGACAAAGCTTCTGGTTTGTCAATCTTGTTACCCACTACCAGCACTGGAATACCATTTAGAGAAGGCTTGCTCAACAAGTCATGAAGTTCACCTTTAGAGACAGGTAAATTTTCATGATCAGCTGCATCAACAACATAACTGCAACATAAAATGTTGATGAGCGATTAATATAATTTTCCACACAAGAAATTAAAATGAAATTGCACTATAACAAGAATAAGAAAAACAAAGTATAATGTTTATGACTAGTTGTTTTCCGGATTGATATAATAACAAGAAATTGATATCTTAACTGAAATGCTATTTTACATTTCATGTGAAAAATAAAGTAGGTCTTGAATAAGCAAATGATACATGAAACAAAACCAATGTCTATTTTTTGCAGAAAATCAAGTGTAACAGATTGGCTGAAAGATTTCAAGAAATGCAACTTTTACCCGTGTCTTATTTATAGTCCGTATCATTCAGCAAGATATGTTTGAAGTCTGAATGCATATGAAAAGCAACAGAAGTCTTTAAGAGTGAAAGGAGCAAACAAAGAATGTCATATTGAAATGAGATCAAAAGTAAATGAACTGTAAATAACCAACTAGCATCAGCTTTCCCTACATCTCAACTGTAAACATAAAGGTGGACGAATCAACATCATGTACTAAGAATGTAATAAATCTCTCGGTCAAAGAACAAGGTTTTCAATTGGGTGCTTCATAAGATGGATCCTTTAGCATGTTGAAATGAATATGCCCAGAAATATTTCTGAGATAGAAAATATACATTTATGATTTATTGATAAAGAAACAATCTCAAAACCAATTGCCTAAACAAATAATATTGAAGCATTAATTTGATCTTGAGTCAAATCTGAAATTGTTCATTCTCTCTAGACCAAAATAGTATAATATACAATAGAAAACATTGAACCTAATGAGTTTAAAGAAAATCTTATGCAATGTATTTGAAGCTGTTCATTAAATAAGAAAAGACAAAATTGTTAGCAATTGATGCCATAGTTATGTGTTCCAATGTGATTTATAGGACATACACAATAACTGATACAGCACGGCAGTATCTCTCCCACATGCTGCGAAACCTTGGTTGCCCTCCAAGATCCCATAACTTTATCGTCACATTGCCTTTAGTTACCTTTCTCATATTAAATCCTACCTATAAATAAACAAAAATTACCAAGTACATCACAGGGAAGCAAATTAGCCATGTGCAAGAAGCAAGTGATTCGGCCAGTAGTGAAGTTATATACATATAAGCATTGGATTATAGTCAAAGAAAGGTGACATACCGTGGGGATCATATCCTCACTATATCCACCAGTCTGTATCAGGATAAAACACAAATTCAGCATCAGCATCTTAGTAACAAGGTACTATAGTATAGAAAATTACTGGTCCAGTAAGCATGATTACATTCACATACCGCAATAGCATTAACAAGCGATGTTTTTCCAGCATTCTGAAGGCCAATCAAAGATAGCTCCATTTCTTGCTTGAAAAAGAGACTACCATATGGAAAAAGAAAGTAAATATGAATATTTCTAAGATCCACTTTTAAAGGCCACTTTTACTCTCTAGCATGTACTGTAGTAGATAATTTACAGCAAACATTTCAATTTAGATAAAACAACTAAGAAATACAAATCAAGTATGTCCCAGCAATCATTGTGCAAGTAATTGTGTGTACTGGGAAAAAATGGCAACTGGAGTAAAAACAACTAACACTTGCACAATATATTGAAGGATAAATTGCAGCTCAGTTTTCCAATTCACTAAATTATTGAAGGGAACAACAAACAACATGCAATCTCCAAATCAGCTTTGCATCTGTTCAAACTAACCCTCACAAACATAAGAAGGTCAAAGACTTGACCCTTTCTTAGTCCGCTGCTAGTCTAGTGTACCTCCATTCCATAATCCGAAACTACTGCTGTTGTGGAGATATTGATGTTGTGGTGGGTTTTGCGATGGCAATGAGTGTGTTTATGGTCCATAATGGTTTTTTTTTTTAATGGGATTTCCTGCATTTTCTGTGATAAACAACAATCATAATTTGTAATTGCAATAACTAGCATTCTTTTCAGTTTACAAAAAATAGTATGGATATCGTGAGACCCCGATTCCAAATGTTACATCACTAAGATCATGAGGACACCATACAACAGAATAAATTTAAAAAAAATGGGGCTCCCTCACGCAGAATTGTACATAATATTTGGTAGATGGAGAAATGTCAAAGACAAGTGGAGAACATGATAGAAATTATAAGGGATATGAAAGAAGCATCGAAGGATTGGGAGAAATATGTTAGGAGACCCATTAGAATACGAAATAAGAAGAACCATCATAAAACAGATGGTGGGGGTGGAATACTTGAATTTCGTTGGGAGAGTCTCCATGCCTCTCCAATGCGTCGATGGAATGCTTGACTGTTCTGTCTTTCTTCTATTTTGCATTTCCAGGATTGTAGCCATCCTACTTGGACTTACACTCTGGGAGAAATTTATCCTAGATTAATCTTAATTTTGAAGTTAGAATCCATAACAGATATTATCAAATTCTTTTCAAATAATAGCCAAGAAGACGATTTAGAACAAAGTAGCAGCAATAACCACATTATATTCCCCTAGTTTTGGGTTGCAAGTATCAAAAGTTCCTTATTCTCGTACCCCATGGATTTCAGCAGTATCTTAGCATCCAAAACCAAGAGGGAGAAAAAGCACTAAGCAGAGGATCATTCGAGAAAAGCCTAAAAACAAAAAACAAAGAAAGAAAGAAAGAAGGATGCTATCACAGGGTCAAGCAGTGAAAATTCTGGGCTCATAAGAAAGAACAAAGGATGAACTCAGAATCCAAACTTAGCATGGTTTTGCCGCACTTTATCGTAGCAAAAGGAGCAACTTTTACCTCCGTAACCAGTTGAGGAAAGCTTCCCACAAACCCATCTCAAGTTCAAAAAAATATGAACTTTGAAAGAAGTAGAACACCAGACCAGAACGCCTTCAGGAGGATTTGGTGAACCTTCAAAGTTCAAACCCAGCACTGTTGAGAAGAAGAATCAAGAAGCAGTTCACTGTTTCTACTATTTCGTTATCGGAATCGAAAATGACCTATTTTATTAAAAAAAAAAACGAAAAACGACTAAATAAGAAATACGATTCACATAATGAAGACAAATGGAAGAATGTCTCGTTCGGAAAACGCGAGTCTCGAGCGCGAGTACAGTCGTTTGGCCAATGGGATTTATTTTTTAGCGAAATGTACCAGATGTTATTGTCGGCGATGAGCCTCACGCGCCGAGATGGGATGACTGGTCAATTTGCTCAAAGATAATACTATTTCAATATAAGAAAAATGTGTAAATTTAATCATAAATTATTTTTTAAATATTATTAGGTAATTTTTATTATAAGATAATGTAAAATAAATTATGAACCATAAAAAATAGAGCACTTGACATCTTCCGTTAACTTTTAACAAATGACCATTAATTAAAATTGTAAGGCTTACATTCATTTAATTTCGGCCTACATTCATTTAATTTCTCTCTCCCCCCCTTATTTTCAAAATGCATGTCTCTCTCACTTTTGTAACTCCTCTCTCTCTCTCTCATGTGTTCATGAACGACCCGATTTATCTTTCCTTCTTATCACAATCACACACATACAACCATGGATAATAGGGTTAGGATCTCTTACGCATGCAAGGCATTCTCAATGCAACTCCTATATGGTCACAATGTAATATCCTAAGCTTTCAATTGGGAATTATTAGTATTTATAAGGGTATTTTAGTCAAATTAAATGAATTATGGATTAATGACATTTATGAGGTACTAATATAGTTTTTGGATCTTTGGATAGCCTTATTCTAAGGTTAAATCGAAGTTCAAATGGGCCATGGCATGGAGGAAGGTTTAAATTTTCATGGAACTCTTTGTGCCATGCGCCATGGTGAACGTGTCAATGCGCTACGGCACACGTGCAAAATCGGTACCTATCAGTTTGCAAAAACAGGCTCAAAATTAAAAGTGTGTTAAGGGAAATTGCAAGGAGGTGACAGGAAACGATCGGTGTTTACTAAGGCACGATCTTTAGACCACTTTGGATGCATTTAGAGTTTAAATCATGATTGAGTAAGTTTCACATTCCATTTCCTCCTTCTTTATGCAACATTTTTGACTTAATAAATATTGTGGGGCTTAGTTTCGATTGTTGCTAGGTTTAGACTGAACCCATTGGCTTATTTAAGGTCTTAGAGAGTTAGATCAAGCTTCTAACCCTAAGTTTATTAGTTTTATGGTGATTTAAAATTTTTGTTGAGGGTTTGGACGAACCCTAAACATAATTTAAAGATTTTAAAACAATGTGAGGAATTGGATGATGATTTTGGTATGTTGAAATGGTTAATAAGATGGTTAGAATGTTTTGAAATGGTTGATATTGTTAGATAAGGAATTTAAGTGCTATGGGTACTTAAAACCTAGAGAATTCAGAGTTTATCCTGACTGGTCACTAACAATTGTCACTTGATTGTGTAGATTGAGTGTTACTTGAGCTTTATCGTGCATATAGAACGTGTGGAGCTAATATTAAATCATAGTAACCCTTTTGTGATAAAGGGTTAAGGTAGTGGAATAATTTACACTAATTGATTATATTGGTTAACTGTTTGTGAGTATATAAGTACATTTGTTTACATATGTTTCGAAAGTTTGGCATGTTGCGAAAGATGATTTTCCTTGTGCATTAAAAACTACTTTTGAAATGATAAAGATTTATGAGTCCAATTGTGAAAAAGATAGTGATTTTTTATAAGTGTGTGAAATGTATAGCAAGAATAAGTATGATCCTGTTAAGGGGTGGGAGTTCACTCATAGGAAAGAGTAGTGAAAGTTCATATGACATGTATCTCCTTAATATCTAGTGAGGCACGGTATTAGATATGACGTTAGAGAATGACGCTCCTTAGTATCAATGATGTGGTGTTAGAGTAACGATACCCTGATTCGTGTGCGACAAGGGGAGATCATAATCCGAAAGTGGGATAAAACACCTTTGACCAGATGATCCTACTACTAAAGGTAAGCTCGAACCATTGTGAATGTACACTTGGTCTAAGAGCTTATGGTTTCAGTCAGGGTGATATGAAGGCTTGAATGGTAGAATGATTATGTTAGTGATAAATGACTTGTGTTTATAGAAATGAATTGTTAAAAATGCTAAAGTGACAATATACATTTACTATAGAAAATGTTATGTTGGAATATGTTAAAAGTGTGTTTTAATACTTAATAGCTTTATTCCTATATGGTTATGTATGTTAATTAATAGTAGTGAATTATTCTATTACTAATATGTTTATCTCACCCTATAGGTATATTTTACAAGCGAGGGCTCCGTAGGTGTAAGGGAAAGGAAATGGTGACTGAAGAGTGAAGAGCATTGTTGTATAGCTCTTCTCTTTTTTCTTTTTAGGTTTGTAACGAATATACTATAATCTAATGCTAACTTAGGAACACGACATTGTTTTGTTATTACCTGTATAAAAATATGTGAATATCTTAGCCTAAGATTGATGTTATTATGATTAAATGAGTGTGCTTGGCCAAGATACAATTACAAATGGTATATTTGAAATGATTTGTGCATTAAAATGACCAATCGATATGCGTGTTAAGTTTTATTCACCCCTTTATGTTGTTGTGAATTGAGGATTTAATGGTCATTTTGAGTATGAATGCTTATTTGTGTCATATAATTGGCTTGTTATATTGTGTGTAGACCATTTGAGGTTGTTAAAGTGATTTCGAAGCTAATGACATTTGGTAGTGTGTTGTGGACACCTTTGAAAGTATTTTGAGGTAAAAACTAACCATTTTAAGTTCAGGTGTTCATCTTTTTAATGAATAATTATTTAAGTGTAAGACCAATGTCATTAGCTAGAGGGCTCGAAGAGTTTTATGTAGACATTTGAACCACTCAAATTGAACGTTGGATGGCAAAATGGCACGCTCCTCTGACTTGGGTAGCTCCTCCAGGCACTCCAACACTCTCATCCTTGCTCACCTGACCTCTTTATTATCTTCCACCTCCCTTTCCAACAAGAAGAAGCCCTTCCTTGCAACTGTTGCCCTCCTATTAACTATCAGCTCCATTGTCTCTGTTGGGATTGTCCTTAGCAACTGTGCATGTGGTTCCAGCCAAAGTGGGGTGGCTATCTGGGCCAAGCTTATAGAGGCAATTTCTTGAACCTATAGTAGAACCCACTACCCCAACATGTATGTGAACTTGAGACTTGAGTTCCCAAGTTCCATAATAGCAACAAAGTAAGAGCCTATCCACATTTCCTTTAACATGGCCTTGAGCACCTGAGCAGAGCTCTCTACTCCTTCATCGAGATCTCTCACGTCTTGAATTCACTCAAACAATTAGTGTATGAGAATTGCCTCGAGCTCCTTGAGGATTTCGAGCTTGCACCTAAAAATGAGAGAGAGAATGAGAAGGGGAGAGAAAAATTAAATGAACATGAGCCCTACAATTTTAATTAAATAGTCATTTGTTAAAAGTTAATGGACGGTGTTAATGCTACATTTTTTATAGTTGGTGATTTATTTTGCACCCTTTTATAGTATAGGTTACCCAATGGTCATTAAAAAATAGTTTAGCACTAAATTTTCATTTTTATCATTTAATATATCATGAAGTCATGAACCAAAGAAAATTGACAAAAAAAAAACCCATCGGGATTTGATTCGCGGATAAGGACTTGAATAAATTTGTGAAAGTTGGTCCTTCTTTGGCATTAAATTAGACCTACATAATGACCATTTTTTCCTTATTACATTTAAAAGAAAAAAGGCATGCAAAGCTCTTCTCCTCAACTGCACAATCATCGACTCAACATTCCATTATGTCCAGTGAACATTCGATTTGATTGCGTCTGACAACCAAGTTCATGACTTTCTTAGGTCAGTTTGTTGAGTATTCAATATGATGGTGAGGTATTGTTTGATTTTTAATGTTTGTTTAGTAATAGTGGAGTTTGGTTGTCTAAATTTCAAATTCTTGCTAAAAGAGGTTGAACTAAGTATTTGCTTTGCTATTTGCTCCTCCCATAAGTGTATTGCCTCACATTGCAAAGTTAGTAATATGTAATATAAAATCATGTCTAATAATAGCCAACTAAACTTCTAATAAATATTGTTTACTCACCTTCTTCCATTCTTCAATTAAACTAAATACACCTCAATTCCACACACTCAAACCTTGCTTTTACTTTACCAAAGCACCTTATGCTTCCATATCAATGTTCCACTAATCCTTTTAAAAAATCTTTAAATTGATTATGGATCAACCATATATCTTCAAACTAAAATGGCCTTCTCTTAATAAGAATAGGATAATGATCAGAGCTAAATTAACCCATTACTTTGACCATAGCATCAAGAAACATATTCTGCCACTACTTATTGCATAAGCTTCAATCCAATCTTTCATAGAATATGTCATGCCCACTCCATTTAGGCCCTTTCCAAGTGAACCAAGGCCTTTTAGATTCAATATCAATTAACCCATAATCATTAATCTAATTCATAAACATGTTACAGCTTCGAACACTAACTCTCGCCCTTCCCTTTTGCTCACAAGGTGATACAATGACATTAAAGTCGCCTGCAAGAATCTAATGATCAAACATATTCATACTAATCTCAAATAAGGCATTTCACAATCCCCTTCTAGCCTTCTTATGAAGGTTGGCATACACTAATGTAAGAAACCATGTAATACTCCCATTATTCATGAAACAATAATGAATAAACTGATCATGCTTTCACAAAATCTTAATCCCCAAATCCTCCTAATTCCCTAACATCCATAGACTACCAACAAAACCCCTAGCCTCTACTAATCCTAATATTTAAAATCTAAACTTGTAATAACCTGCTTAGCCTTTACTCTATTAATTATGGGCTCAAGCAAAACCACCACCTCAGCCTTTGTATCATGATAAATGTTTCTCATGAAGGTAGCAAAACCTTTTCTATTAGCTCCACGACAATTCCAAATGAGAATCTTCATAAAAAACTACAAACTGACTTACTCTCCTCCCCCTCGCAATCCTGCATGAATTCTTTACTAGTAATATCATCATCATACATAG